TCAAGAGATGGGACACGACTGCGATACTGCAGTGAAGAGATCTGCCGTCTGTCCTGTACCTGCAGCGGGTATTGCCAGCGGCTCAGCGGCCAGCCCGGCGCGTTCCTGCCTGCTGGAGTTGCTGGTGTGTGTGTGAGCTGGTTTGCAGCTCAGATTGTGTTCCTGAGGCTGTGCCAGGATGTGTCTCACTGTGCACGCCTTCTTAGCAAAAGGGACGTGGTCCACACTGCGCAGTACAAGTAGCGGCTAATAACCTTGTTTAAATTACCATGTGCTCTCCTTGTTTGAATATTCCTGGATTGTTGACCTTTCCAGGCTACTGCAGAGTCCATAGGAATGAGTGGGGAAGGGCAAAGCATCTCAGGGCAGGATGTCTGACGAGAGGAATATGAAGGGGGATGAGGCTCTACCCCAGCTTGTGACATCAGGGCATCTATAGACATCATGATAAGGGAGAGCTGAAGTGCTTCACTTTTGAAAGTATTTTGGGGTATTTTCTTTTACTTTCCCTTTGAGCTGACAGCAAGATTGCCTGCTGCCTGGAACCGACATTTTAACTGTTACGTTTGTCTGAAGCCAAACTGGGATAACCAAAACATTTTGAATTTGGCACAGGAAAATTAGGTGGCAGACTGTGCCCTGGTGTTGCCTATACCTGGAGAATAGACTTGACAGTCTTGTCCTGTAAGTATCCAAAGGGAATCAGGGTAACACAACTCAAAAATGCTAAAAGTTAAAAATTACCTCAGAGTTCAAACCACAAATAACCTACAGGATTGGGCTCAAAAGGATAAAATGTGTGCAGATTTTAGCACAGACTTCAGCAACAGATATCTTTGAGACGTGTTATATGACATCCAGAAGTCTCCAGAATAATTAGAGGCTTTGTGCTGGACGTCACAGATACCCCAGGTAGACGTCCATCATGTTTGTGAACATCTTGAGCCGTCATCCAAGTGGCCAGGTATGCCCAGGGTGCCAGCAGCTCCCCAGCAATGCAATTACAGTGATGACCTATGGTAAAGACTCCTATGTTGTTAATTGTTGGTGCAAATAAAACAGTTTTCACGTTGGTATAACCTCACAGAATCATAGAATCATAGAATGGTTTGGGCTGAAAGGGACCTTAAAGATTTCCACCCCCCTGCCATGGCAGGGACCCCCCCCAAGCCTCATCTAGCCTGGCCTTGAACCCCTCCAGGGATGGGGCATCCACAGCTTCTCTGGGCAACCTGTTCCAGTGTCTCACCACCCTCACAGTAAAAAATTTTTTCCCAATATCTAATCTAAATCTACCCTCTTTCAGCTTGAAACCATTACCCCTACACTACCACTACACTCCCCGATAAAGAGTCCCTCCCCATCTCTCCTGTAGCCCGCTTTAAGTGCCGGAAAGCTGCTGTAAGGTCTCCCCAGAGACTACTCTTCTCCAGGCTGAACAACACCAACTCTCTCAGCCTATCCTCCTACAGGACGTGGTCTGATCATCTTCATGGCTCTCCTCTGGACTTGCTCCAACAGGTCCATGTCTTTCCTGTGCTGAGGACTCCAGAGCTGGACGCACTACTCCGGGTGGGATCTCATGATAGCGGAGTAGAGGGGGAGAATCACCTCCCTTCCCAGGTTTGGACACCAGTCTTCAACCTGTTCACAAGACAGATCAAAGGGAACATCACTGTTTCATACCAGAGAAGTCCTTTCATGTTTGAGTGGTCTGCAGTTCATGTAAGACAAATCACACCATTTTGCTTATCATCTGCGGTACAGATACTTGTACAAATTGAGAAAAAAAACATCAGCCCTGCTCACCTTTGCAGTGTCATCTCTGATTCCTGGCCTCTGGTTCATCCCAGTTCATCCCGGGAGAGGGCTGGATGGGCAGATGCAGCAGCAGGCTGGTGACCCACAGGGTGGGAGGGAGCCAGGTGCTCCCCATTCTTAACCACCAGCCCTGAGCCCTTGAAATACAACCTCAACACCTCATGAGCACTAGAAACATCTCAAGTTTCCAGACTGGAAAACATGAGCTGCTACTATCTGAACTGCTGCATCTGGGCCCTGAAGAGGAGAAGACACAGCAGCAGCATAAATGTCTCCAATTAACAAGCTGTTGGAGGAAGACTGAGAGCCCACTCTTACGGATTACAGTAACATTTGTGAAAATATTTCCACCTTCTGAGAAAAGAAGAGCAACCTATAGTTTCTCTCAATTTGGGTGATAGTCTCTGGAGTTTTCAAGGAGCTGGAGTAATACCTTTAAGATGAAATTTCATGCAATGTCAAATTATTTTCTCTTCAAAACCTGTCCTTCTGGAAAATAAATGATGGAAAAGAAGATGAACAATTTATTATTCACTCGTTTAAAAGAAGCAATGGTTTAGTCAGATGCAGTGCCTTTGGCCAGTAAAGATAATAAAGGAATAAAGGATTCGTCATCAATACTGCACTGAAAGAAAAAGGTCACATTTGTCATTGGTCTAAATCTAAAAGGCCAGGTTTTGTTCTGTTATTCTAAAACGGTGGCCTTTGGTCCCTCTTTGATTTTCACACTGTGAAATAATTCCAGCAGAGATGCAGACTCCTCCATGGAATATTTAAACCTATTAAATGTCCCTGCTTTATCTCAGTTGCTTTTTCAGAACCCATCAGGAATAGTTTGTGCACCTTCAAGTAGCTATGTAGTACAAGATGACAAGTGCTGTATTAAAATAGAGAATTAGGGCACTGTTCAGATACAGAGAACGGAATCTGGCCTCTGGATTTACAGACCCAAGCCGATTTCCTTGGAGAAGTTGTTCTGCAACAAAGATTCTTGGATTAATTTCTGACTTGGATTTTCAAAACTGCTATGAGGTGGAATTTCAGTGATGCCAGGATTTCGGTCCCTCAACAGCAAAAAAAAAAAAAATAGCTGATGCCTCCTGGCTCCCTTATGATTGCATTTATACTTTGCATGCTGGTTCTTTCTGTCCTGTGTCCACTGTATCCACGGTAGATAGGTCTATGGCTGACTTTTGCCCTCCTGTCACTGCGGGACAAGTCACCTTTCCAGGGCCTATAACCTTTATCCTGCAACAGCAATATCAGGAAGCACCACAGCAACAATCAGCTTTGCTGGGAGCTGGGAAATGCCAGCTCATGCTAGAAACTTCTGTTTGCACCAGCTGTGAAAATGAAGAGACTCTCAGACATTAACTGATTTTGACAAAGGATAAAGTGGCACATGTCCCACTCCAATGTGCTGTATAAATTCCCCTCCTAAACTCACCTGTGTGGTTTGGTATCATTCTCTCTTCTATACAATTTCCTTTTTTCCGAGTTTCCATTTGCAAGTTTCCCACTTTTTCTCATAGGTGTTCGGGTCCAATTTGTCAATATCAGTTCAAGAGGCAGGTTGGATTACTAAAGCTGGCCTCACCTAGTCATAACTCCAGCATCCCATTCCCGAAGGGCAAAACCAGTAATTATTGGTAACATGACTCCAAAGAGCATTCCTTGCCATACCGTAATAAATATGACAACTGCAATACTAGTGTATGAAAAATATTTTCCATACCTCTTAGGTTTCACTATATTTAAAAATATCTAGAGCTTTTGCATGACAACTGTCTTAATTGCTGGAAATTTGGCTTACCTTGCTTTGGAAAGCCGTGAATACATGAACATGTTGTTGCTTGTACTCTGCTTACTCACTTTCAGACACACTCAGAATGATTTAATCTAGATTTATAATGTTATAACTTTTATGCCTCAGCTTGCCTAAGTTGATATTGGCAACCTGGGACGTGGATTGCTTACCAACAGTACTTATATACTGGTATGATGAGCACCATCCAAAGCCTAAGAGAGTAAAAGAAAGAAATTAAGAGTGTGGATTTTACCACATACAGAACTTGACTGGCCAGGTAAGAAAATACGTAACAAATATGAGTATAACTCCTCCATTTCACTCTCCCAAGCATGATACGGATTGTACAAAGTGTCAAGAGGGATACACCCACCTTGAACCAAAGATTTGTGAAAATCAAAACTATGCAAGTACAAACTATTTGCTCCCACACATGTTAATGCCAGTGGTAGCACACCTTTTGGCTAAGGAAGCCCTAGGTGCTGGAGCTGCCTAGAAATCTTGGTGTTTAGCATATAAAACTTAGCGTTTTAGTTCTTCTTGTTTTAAAGAGAAGCTTGAAAGCACGGAGGAGAAGCAGTGACTGGAGGCAAAGCATGTCTCCCAAGCAGCCAACAACATTGCTCTGCCTCTGCATCAAAGTGTCTGAGCAGAGCAGGACACAGCTGCTGTGTGTTGGAGACGAGCGGAGGTCTCTGAGCAGAGCAGCAGAGGCTGGGAAAGGGGGAAAGAGGACATACTGCAGGAACGAGAGAGCCAGAGGGGTCTCGACACTGCTTTCAACTCCATCTGCCACCATGGGCTAAAGCCCTCAGGGATCCGTCCTTGTAGCAGGATCAGAAATGTCTTGTTCACAGCAAAGCTCCTCCTCAGTGCTTGTAGCACAGCAGTGCTCCTTTGGGGCATCAATATTGCAACTGGTGCTGCCCCGCAGTACTTTGGTTTAAACACCAGCGCTCCAGCGTGCCTCCACAGCACCCTTTGCTTGGCTCCCTGCAGCATTACAGAAAAGGGCAGCCAGGGTCTGAAAATGAAAATGCTGTTTGTGGGCACGAGTTCCTCATTTTACCAACAAGGGAGAGGGATGGCAGAGAGATATTCCCAAGGTGGCAGTGACTCTGGATGAGATTTCTAACTTCCTTGTGTTCAGTCCAGAAGGACCAGAAAAATGTGGGTACCTCCAGTATTTCTTGTCCCCATTAGCTGCTGATCTTATTTTGTTACAGTTGTTTTCCATTTTTTTTAATCTTTATTGACCTTTTTTATATTTTATGCTTTGTTAAAGTGTTTTTTTTTTTCCCTACAGCAGAGAAATTGCAAATACAATGTTATCATGAGTAATGTGCTGACTTTGTTTTCTTATCCACCTTAGGACATTTATTTACCCCTTCTTCACTAGAGGCAGACCTTTCCCACTACAATTGCTTTTCTTTGGCACATTATTCTGTATCTATAATGGCTTCCTCCAGGGATACTACCTGATTTACTGCGCTGAATATCCGAACGACTGGTGCACCGACATCAGATTTACATCAGGTAATTATAGCCACAGGATTCCCAAGATCTAATCTCCAAGCAATTTGTAAGCATTTTGAATTATGTTCTAATCTTCACTGAACATGTGAGTCAATTCAGTTGTGATGGAAATCAGCACAAAACCTGCCTGCTGGCCCAGATAAAACAAATAAATGTGCAGTGACTTTAAAAAAAATTATTTTTTTTTTAGCTAGGCAGCCACCTCTGAAGGCGTATGATGTTATGTGTTGGTCTCAAATCACCAGCCTTGTTTTACTGACACCACTCCAGAGCGTCCCGCTGCTACAGGCTGTGGAGATGCAATCTCAGACCTTCGCTGAATGGGGCTGTGCCCTTGTTCAGCCAGCGATGTCCACCCAGCAGTGGCCACGTGCAGGCACAAGCTGTGGCTTTCTCTTCCCCACCAGGGAGCTTTGCACTTGATGCAGCTATTCCAGCAGAGAGAGAAAAGAAGGGCAAAACCTCAGCATAAATGAGGCTTTAGAGACAAAGGGCTCTTTTTTCTCGTGTAAGGCACGTGGGAAGATTAGAGATCACACACAGTCTAGTTGTACGTTAATATGGTTCTTTTATATTCTGTAACTTAATAGCCTAGCTAAATTTCACCCTGTAAAATCCCTGGGAGAATAACTGAGCAAGAGCAGCTAGGTGGCATTGCACACATTTGGTGCTACACAAGGATGTTTTTTAAATGCGCACATAGAAATGAAGATTAACTTGGAGCTCTAAGGAAATATTTTGGATATGACAAATACAAAATAACCAAGTACCTGTTTCAGGCTGTGGATGCAAATTCGGTCTTTTCAGTCAGCGTGATTGTTGCTATTGTTGAAAATCCTGGATGTTGTTTAGTAAGATCTCCCATACCTGTCAAAGAAAACACCACATCACGTAATTTGCATTAGCAGTACTTGAAACATTAAATAAAACCCAGTATATTCTTCCTCTACAGACTCTTACCCACTTGCTGTTGCTACTAGAAGTGTTGAGGTTTTATCAGCACTTAGCCTTTTTTCTATACTTCTTAGCACACACCACCTCTATTTCTTTCCTTGCCTCCCCATCATTGTCAGAGGTGGTTTTCTCAGTGCCTAATGCAGCAAGAAACGTAGGGCATGTCACCTGCAGGGTTTCTCAGTCAAATGCCTCTAGTTTTTCAGCTAAATGGAGTCTGGTCAATGAATCATTTTGGCCAGAAGCTGTCAGCATCCTTCAGTGAGTAACTGCTTCAAGTGCATGCCCATAGCTTTGTCCGAGCTGCCTTGCTGGCAGGGGACTGGGCTGTGCTGAGATGTAGGTTCCCTTCCTGGTCCCTGTGATGTGCTGGATTAGTTTGGGTTCTCTGTGCTCCTCTTTCCCCAGCTGTAAAATAAGAATGATGGTACTTGCCTACAGCTCAGTGGTTACCCTGCAGTGATGTTCACAGCCGTGCCTGGCTGCCATCAGCCAGCAGTGGCTGTTGGGCAATTTGTCCCCTCCTTGATGTTCAATAAATGGTGACTATGGCCAGCTGCGTAGCTCAGCTTTTTCTCACCCCAGTGGAAAGTGCTCTGGTCTCACCAACAAAACTGAGTGCTCAGGATGGTCAGAGTTCTGTCCAGAGCTTCTCTCCATACTGAAGCTATCCAATGCGGGTGATCCCAGAGGACTGTGATCCACAGCTGACACACAGATATAGGGCTATTTGTCACACATCACCTATGCTGCTCCTCTTCAGTAGCCTTCTCACTAGCAGCGCATCTTTTGACTTAAAAAAGAATCTACCCACCTCCTGTTAGGTCTCCTGCCTGCCTGCTCCAAAAATAAACCTCACATATGTGCTTGAGTGGGGACAGCCAGGCAGAGATGTCCTTCTAATCCATTTCTTGTTTGTTTCTTAGGCCTCCTCTTATTTCTGCTGGGAATGGGAATCAACATTCACAGTGATCTCCTGCTGCGCCAGCTGAGGAAACCCGGGGAAGTCACTTACAAGATTCCTCAAGGTATATTCTTATCTCCCACCCCCTTGGAGAAAGTAGGGCAGCAGGACAGATAATGCTTTCTGACTGAGTTCCCAGCAAAGCAACAGCAACAGCAGAAATGCGAGTATCACACAGGCACTCGGCTCAGGTTCCCGGCTGCAGACAGCCCACAAGAATCACCAAGAGTATCTAGAAAACATGAGCTGTGAGGAGAGGCTTTAGGAAACAGGCTGGGTTATTTACAGAAGATTAAAGTGGGACATACGAAGAGGATTTTAGCCTTGCAAATGGCAGCTGCAAAGATGGAAATATTCTTCCCCATGCCCAGGAAGAAGTTGTAGTGGACTTCTCACACTGCAAAAGGGAGATTCAAAGTGTAAACTTTAGGACAAAAAATAACACCAAGGAAGCAAGGTGCAGAATTTCCTTTCCATCTCCTTCAAGGTGGGGCTTGGTGAGGAAGAGTGGCCATGGGCCAGAGAGGTGAACCAGGAAATGTCTAGCTCTGTAGAGCAACATGTACGGGCAGCCAGGAGTTTTCTGGTTTTGGTGGTGACCCTTCTGCTGTTTTGTTATGGATGGTAATATCTCCCCCCCCAGAGTTTCTCACCTCCAATACTTACCTGCCTCTTGTAGATGTTGTGATTAGCTGAGATGCAAAACTGAGATCCAGATTTTGCATTCCCCAAAGGTAGTGGGGTTGCATGTAATATTTTCTAGGGCCTGAAGAGAATTGATTAATGCTAAGAATTCTAATTGATATCTAATAAGGGGCATTCTTAAGTCCTTTTCCAAATGAAAATAAATGATTGTGAAAGTGCTGGAAGCCTCTGGCTTAGAATCACCTTTGACTCTTGTACAAGATCCTCCTTGTAGCTTGGCACGGCTCTACTGGCTTCAGGGCAATGGGTTTAGGTTGCTATTACGGTCTCCAAATAAGAAAGACAGCGTATTCTGCTGCTGACTACATGGGAAAGAGCTTTCCATGTGCATGATATGACTGCAAAAATTACATATTTTGTCTGTTGATGCAGGGGGACTGTTCACTTACGTTTCCGGAGCCAACTACTTTGGAGAAATTGTGGAATGGTTTGGTTTTGCCATAGCAACCTGGTCCCTACCAGCCTTCGCCTTTGCTTTTTTTACTCTTTGCTGCATCGGGCCACGTGCTTATCACCATCACAGGTATCAAACTGTTTCTTGCCATATGCTCTTGCTTGCTCTTGGAGTGCAGTTTGCAAAATGCCAGGGAGGGGCAGAGGATTAAGGCCAGGATTCAAGATAAAATAGAAATTTAATTCTATCTACAAGAAGTGTATTGGCTTATTTGTCGCTGGGTGAAAGTAAGGCAACTGGCTGGAGCCCCTGTTGAGTCAAGTGGGCCAGATAGCCATTTAATCCAGCTGCTTCCACCATGTTAAAGCCTCTTTTACTGAACCTTGCAAATGTGAACCTTTCTGAAGGCTTCCCTTGCAACCCCTGAGTTCTTTGGAGTAGATATAGTCCCCTGCTCTGAATTCCTGATGTTTCTACTTTAAGTCAGTTAGAACCTTAACAGTATTATCAGCTGTCACTTAATGAAATAACCTGGTATAAATAGTTTTGTAATGCTCTTTTGCAGAGTAGCACACAAAAGTTACAAAGCAAGGCAGTTTGGAGGAGTTTTAAGGTTCCTTAGCTGAGCTGTATTGAAACTGTGCAGTTTCTTTCCATGCAGAGCCTGCCTACGGTTCACTCTCTTGCTTATTTTCTTGCAGGTACTATCTCAAGACATTTACGGACTACCCAAAATCAAGGAAAGCCTTGATTCCTTTTGTTTTTTAATGATTGAAATATGGACTTTTTGTTCTGTTTTTATAGGGCTTTTTTTAATTCCTAGTTTTAATGTTAGGTTTGACTGTAATTAATTGTACAAATGATAACCTGGGGTTGTAACAGACAAGAAGGTAATTTGGAACTGAAGTTCTTGTTTTTAATTACAAGGAAAATTGCAGATAGTTGTGGGCAAAGGGACTCCCCAGACAACTTTGCTTGTCAGTGGAGTTCTGCCTATGGAAAATGGATATATAACTATACTGACATCAGAGAAAAAACATGGTCTAAAATCTGGTGCAGAAAAGTAGAAAGTAAGCCCATGACTTCAGAGAAAGTCTTCAGCAGCCACTCCAATTTATAGCACTTCTGCAGCTGGTTCTTCCTGCCTTCATACCATAACACACATGCACTTGCTCCATCAGCACTGCCCTAGGTGTTGCTGCACTTTAAATGGGAGTAGGGGTCTTTTTGCCCAGAAAATAACTTAGCCCATTATTTTTAATCTAAAAGCCATCTTAGCTCCGAGATCCATGTGCCAGCACAAGGCTGGAAGCAGTGTGCCATGGCACAGAGGCAATGTGAAGTACGCAGAGATGGAAGTATCTGAAGTTGGCAATCACAAGCCCCATGTCTGTGTTCCTTCCTCTCCTCACCATCAGATGATTAGCCTTCAGCCATCAGGAGTTTTTTTAAATTTACTTTGTTAAAGCAATTGCAGCTTGATTAGGATTTTTTTCCTCTTTTTTCTCTGGATTTTCTCAAATCCAGAGCTCTTTTCAGAATAAAAACTTGTCCACTCAATACCACTGAACTGTTATTCATAAAAAGATTTGAGATGGTGATGTATGACAAAAAATACAACAAATAAAAAGGTCTGTGTTGAAGAAAGTGTTCTCCAACAGTGGCAGTACATTTTGTCTACAGACAACGTTTTCAGATACGCATATTAGGAAATGATACAGAGTTATTATTGAATTTTCATAAAAAAACAAGATCTCTCTTCTTAATTTCAGAATATAGTTAGTAATTTTCCCAAAAATGTCATTAACCCCAATAGGAAGAGACATCCCCACAGATGCTGATCAACCGTTTTAGTTACCCTTTAAAATCCTGCTAAGAATTATGCTGAATAGCTGTAAAGAAAAAGACCAGACTGCACATACTGAACATACTACCTGCTGCTGGAGTAACCTGATTGACTGTACACAATTTTCTCCAAAAACACAATAAAATCTATGTCAAACACAGATCTGTGCTAGCCTATAACTTACTGTTTGCAGAAACAAGTCTCTGTGATGTTGCTTACCAAGTCCTGCTCACGCTGGCTTCCTCCTTTTGGGCAAACCCTCCCTTCTTTGCTCATATTATTAATTGTCTTCCTCGCCATAGAGCAGAGCAGCCAGCTGAGGCTACGTCCCATTGCACTAGTCCCTGTGCAGCGCACAGGAGAGCTGGACCCTTTGCCATGTGTAGGCAAAGGCAAGGGAGGGATGAAGCGACCTCTCAGTCCCAGACCTGGATATCCACTGCAAGGAGCCGGGATTAGGATGGGAAAATGGGTGTTGGCCCAAGGTGGGAGATGGCCTGCCTGCAGGCTGGGGCTCCACAGCCTGGCACCCCTGCACCAGGCCAGCACAGGGGTGCCTTGTGGTGCTGGATGCCTTGCAGGAGTAGCTCCATCCTCTCTCTCATGGGTCTCGGAAAAGGGCTGCAGGCAGGAAAGGAGCCTGTCTTCTTTCTGCCCCCTCCCGTGGCATTTTTGGAGAACAGGAGTGACACACGTGTGCTTTAAACCCCCTACAAGCAATGAGTGCAGGTAATTGTGATGGAGAGGAGACACAAATTGTTGAGTTCCCCTTTGGGGCTGGTGGCTGCTGCCCAGCCTGCAGGGACACCAGCCTGCCCCACTGGCCATGGGAATGGCCCAGGGCAGCACATCTGGGGCCACACTGCTCCTGAGAAATTTATTTAATCATTCCTTATTTTTATAAGGAAAATATACTCCTCTTGTCTCTGGGAGAAAAAACACAGCAGACATTTTCATATCCCTCTGCTCAAGCCTCTGGAGGCTACGTACATATGTGATTTCAGAGGTGACTGTAAAGTGTTTTGAACAGCAGCACTTTTCTGACTTTCTTTGCAATGTGCTTTTGTTCTGCCACAAGCTAACGGAAGTGTCCTCCACTGGTAAGCACTTAAAATAATAGCTCATTCCTTTTCTGCCCTTTTTGCAATACTGTTTTTCTCTTTGGTTTCCTCCCATCATTCCCATTTTAGTTTTCATTTATCTTTGAGCAACATTTACATGTGGTGCCATTCTCCTGGAGAGGACCTTCCTCAGGACAGCTCTGAGTGTTGCTGCTCTGCTAGAAAGACCTCTCTTACGTAGAGCTGATAACCCAGCCTTCATCCCTGCTGGCAGCCTGCTGGGAAAATTAATCTTTTGTCCCCAGGACTCTTGTTAATTTAATTATTTTTTTATTGTTCGAGTGTTTTTTTCAAACACTGACTTTCCGTAAACATGTGTTATGCCGCTGTGGTAATACACAAATGGCTTAATCATACAGCTGACAGTTTCTTCTGTGAAACACGTTTTCTGCACTTAAGTGATCAGACAGACCGCTTATTGCTATGAGAATTTAGATATCTAATCTCTTCTGACAACCAAAGCCAGAATTAAACGCCGTTCACTGGGAGGCAAAGAGAAGAACAATGGCACTTGCCAGCCCTCATTCCCATCTCTATGTGCCACACACACTTCAGCCTTCTCCTGGCTTTAGTCCATGCTTCAGATGAGAGGTCACTCAGACAATAGAAAACTGGCTCCAGGCAACATAGGGCATTTGTAGCTATTGTTTTAAAGTACATATTTTACATAATATATTTATACAAAAGGCAAAAACCCCCCAATTTTGGCCCTTGAGATCCTGTCTTTAAGAAAAGCACTCATCTAGGAGCTACACTCCTTTTTCCATGACTCTCCTGGAACACAAAACCTCTTACGCTCAGCCAGAAGCTCTGAATGTTTCTGCAGAAATATTAGACCATGGCGTGTCCTAGAACCACAAACACCGAGGAACCTTCCCTAGGCAGGTAGAGTGCACTAATGGCTCGGGCTCAAGAACATCTGTCTCGTACTCTTGACAGCGTCAGTGATTGACCGACGAACTTCAGCAAGTTACTCACCACTTTTGGGGTTGTTTTCCTTTCTGTTGCTTGTCCCTGGAAATGGTCTTCAAAGCCAGGATTTGTTTTTGTAGTACTTGGCAAAGCAGTCCCAAACTCAGCTGAGTCCTGTGGATACCGATATAACACAAATAAGATACCGCCTGTCACATATGCTTGGGAGACAGAGTTATAATATTGCAAAATATTCTAAAGACATATAAGATATCCAAATGCACTGAAATGCATCTTAAAGAGATAATTCTGTGATATTTCATCACAGAAAAAGGCTAATATGTATCACCCATTGAACCTTAGGATCATTTGCTGACAGCAGAGGGATTATCTGCTTCTATTTGATTCACTCATCAAATTAACAAAATCCTTTCTAATGCAAATCACCATAGAGTCTGATTTAAATCCAAGCAGAGTCTGGGAAACCTCACATCCTCTCTTCTGATGCATCTGGGGTCCTCTCGATCCAGTCTAATTTCTCAGAGCAGGCTTTTCTAGAGACATCTCCTCTCAGACCCAAACACTGTTGTCCCTGCACGAGTAATGTGACCTAGGAAACACAATCATCTGATACAAATCCAGGGCCAGGGCCTGCCGGTTCCTCACGAGTAGTACCATACTCTGAGAGTAAAGGCATTGGTGGCCACTGAGCTGCTCAACAATATGCTGTTATTCATTACAAATAGAGGCAGCAAGTTTGATCTCTGGGAGCAAAGTTGGTGAGCACACATCAAGAGGTGCCTAATGGTAGCACCTGGAAAAGTAAAGGAAGATGTCCAGGTCTGGTTCTGGTTTATGTTACCACAAGTAACAAGTGCCTTTCTAAAGAAACCTGTGCTTAGCTTTGTAAGTCTAAAAGGTAAAAGAAAAAGACAGAGTTTTCAGAAATTCATTAAATTAGTTCATTTGCACATCCAGAAGAGAACAGACTGAGTTTAGCTGATGCCATGTTTGGAATAATCCCACCACCATGCCTTCCAGCCAGGTGCCGAGGCGTCTCCCCCCCAGCAGAGTCAGTGGAGACATTATCTCCCCCAGGCAGTGATTCACAACACCTGAGCTGGAAGCCTACAGTCCCATATAGGAGACAGGGTTGTTAGAAGCACAACCCCAGTGACACAACATCCATCCATTAATGACATGTCCATTGCTCATGGCCAGGCTTGAGACAGCTGTGCCTGGGTGCTCTGACCTGCAGTGTCATTCCCAGAACCTGAGTTATCCTATTTGAACACTTCTCACAGCAGCTCCAGCATCAGAAGTGCCTGCCAGGTTGCTTTCCAGCCTACTTGCCTACTTTTCACAAGTTTGCCATGTGAGATGACATGCAATATTGTCACAGCCACACTTCCCTACTATACCAAACACACCACATCTGTTTGGGATGAATTTTTTTAACCCTGCTGTGTTGCTGCCACGAGGAAAGGCCCTTTGCTATATGTGGATGTGTTGCATTTTTACGCTGTGTGGTAAAAGATGACGAGGCTGCTGAGGGGTTCATTTTAATGAGTTCACAGCAGTCTTGCTTGGGCCTGAACCGAGTCTGGGTGGAGTGGGTTTCCCCTGCCCATCCGAGTGGTGAGGGGGGCAGCTCCATGAGCCCCTGTGCCTCCATGCCATGCCCACAAACCCATCTGTGGGGGCTGGCCACGGGCTCCCCCTGCCCACACAGAGCTGGGGACCACACCTGTGAAGTGGAACTCAGCTCTTCCGTAACCCTGAGAGATCATCCTCATCCTCATCTTCCTCATCCTCATCCTCCCTAACAGGGGACTGCTGCAGCTCGGGATGCTACATCGGAGCAAATCCCTTCTCGCCCAGCACGGCCA